AGGTTGATAATTGCTCTTTTTCAGCTCGGCTGTTTTGACTTATTAATAACATTAATGGTAGCTAGATACTATTCATGGGTCCGAGTACTGACAGTGAGCCAGCACGAACAATACTGGACTCGGAAACTGAAGCAGCTACATGAAACTCATCCATTTTTGTTTTATTCACTCCAGTGCTTTTTTCTGCTGTGCCAGAAGAAACCACTGGTCACATATTTAAAGTTTCAGCCTATAATGGATTCTTTTTTGAATGCAGTGTATTTTTCATACTTTAAGAAAAGGTTGGAAGTTCTGACTTCACTTGAGGTTCATTTTCATGAATGAATATTCATGATTTCAAAATATAAAAACATGCAAATAGGCCTTTAGAACTTTACTTTCCCCTTGTTCCCAGTCAGATGGGTGACGGCTTCTCCTTTGTGTTTGAGGACTGGGAATGATGTTCAGAAGGTAATTAATCTTGTTGAGTTACACTAATTAGAAAAGTAGTGGCAGACGAGAATATGGGACAGTTTGAAGCATGATGTGACAGAACATTCCTCATCAGAGACACGTGATGCAGGTGGCTAGTAGACATCCCATCGGTAACTTATATTCCCTGGATTTTGGTAACATTGATAGTAATGCCCTGACACTGGACACCAACTATGTGTATACTTTTGTGGATATTTTTGCCATCTTATATTGGTGTAAAATGGCTGCCATTTTACTAGGATACCCTTCACTTAGCCCAGATATTTTTTAATTTGACACCACTAAAGTTCCTTTTGGTTATAATAAAGACCAGGATTCAATGACATACATAATTTATTTTTGGAATAATAGCCCCCAGTATTAGAGAATATTGCAGTATTTGGTAATCATTAATAAGTAATACATTCACACTTTCTCTGCTCTTTGTTTGATGAGAATTTGAAATAATTTGCCGTAAATTTTATTTCATCTCAGTTTATTGAGCAATTGCAATAATTCAGACTGATGTTCTTCATTCATGCTGATGCATGTAGGCTAGAATTAAAATGTAAAAAGACAGCGAAGAAGAAGGTCAAGATGTTAATTTAATTTCAGATTCCCTCTTTAATTGATCATCACATTTCTCTTTTTCCATTTAGAGATAAAACAGCTGTTGTATCCACCGAGGTGTCCAGGAAATCATGAGTAACCCAGGCAGAGGAACTGAAATTTTAATGATGACTAGCACTACCATGCTGACGGCCATGGAACACCTGAGACAGCTTAAATATCACTGCTAATTAACACAGAGAGGTGGGCTGTCACAGGCGTGATGGATGCGCAGGGGGGCAGATTTCTGCTTCCAACCCACCAGCAATTTTTTTATTTTTATTAATCAAAACCTGAGATGAAAAGGCTCTCCCACACAGGGAGATAGTAAGAGATAGTGCTATTGTTGGGAGGGTTTTCAATCAGTCATCATGAGCCTGTGAGGCATTTGATCAGAGGGCATCCAAACATTTGTAGGGAACAGAACCTTTCTGTGGCAGAGTGCTTCTTTTTGTAAACCTCTGAATGACCCATATGTTGGCAGAACCAGTATGTGCAGTCAGCTGAGATTTACTAGTTGTTGGGGAAATTTCCTTTTGGAGGACCTATTTTTTATCCCCCTGACAGCAGAGGTGAGCGTGTAGAGAGTTGGCTATCAGTCTTAAGGAGAGCTCTTTTCTCTAATAGAGAGCGCCAGACTGAACACAAGGCAGCACTCCTACACGTTACCTCTGGACTGACTCCATAATCAGTCTGTCTCACAGAGATGATTTCGAACCTGGGTGATTTCAGCACTTTGTGTATGAAGATGGAGTGTTATCTCCCCCCTCTCTGATCTCCACCCCATCTACCTCACTTAGGAAGGCCCATTGTTAAGTGCCATGGGCCTGTGGGTGATGTAAATCAGGTTGCAGAGGGAGGGGATGTCTCCCATGGGGGAAAGTGCACACTCCCAGCAGCCTTCAGACTGATCTCATCCTGCAGGCCCTAATGCTTTAATTAAAGAACTGGTCAATAGCAAAGAGGAAGGTGCTAAAGGGTATGATCTTCACTTTCTAACATATGGCTGATGTGGCAATGCCCATGCAGGGAGGATGACAGGGCAATGTACTTGAAGAAATTCTTTGCTCCTGCCTATCACTGCTCACCTGGTTATGTCTGCTTGATTGGCCGCTTCCACATTAGAATATTTTAACAGCAACATTTTAAACAAATCATCTTATTTGTTATAAGATATAGGACCAACTCTTTTATGTTACTCTATGGTAGGTTTTGTCAGACAAGTTTGAAATAAATTTGGGTTTGAAGACTCATAAAATGTGACTGTTTTGATCTAGACTACCTTTACCTGAATATTTAGATTTCACTTTAAGTGGAATGCAGCATCATATGTGGTGCATACATTTTCAGCTTAATCCAGATCGCATCGATCAGTGGTAGTCTTAGCTTTAATGAGTACTAAACAAGGCTATAGAACACTTCACAGTACAAGGACCATCTGTTTCAAGGCAGTTTGTGGAAAGACAGTATCTTAGCATACACTTCCCTCTTGTGGTACAGACAACTGGAATTGATTCTACGAGTCTCTGAACTCGACCAGAGTTCAGAAGATATTTCCTCATTTGATGGAGAGCGCTGTCTAACACATTGGGCCAAAAACCCCCTATGATGTTCAATTGGGTTGAGATCTGAAGGCCATAGTATATGATTCACATCATTTGCACTCCTCGTGCTCTGTGGACGGGGGTACTGTCATCCGGGAAGAGACTGCTCATTTATTTAGGTTTTGCCTTGGTCACCGATCTGTACATCATTATATGAAGAAATAGATGAATCAGTGGTTAAAATGGATTTGATTTTCAGCCTCGCTCACTCATTTCTCATATAAGAATTGTGCACATAACTAAATTGTGTGCATGTATATTGTGAAGTTTTTGGTCTCATTGTAGCTTGGCAATCTTCAAACCAAACGCTTGTGTTCAAGTCACTGTCAGCCATGTTTAGGAGAACCTTTCCTTTCTGACATTAATCTCATAGGTAAATTTCTTCTATACATTTTCCTACTGTATGTGCGGTGTTGCCATTTAATTGATTTACAAAACAACATATCTATTATCCTTCATAGAAAGTAAGGAGTATGTGCTTTTATCTCATTCAGGAAACCATTGTGTGATAATCTTGAATGTCTAACAGTGGGGGTGAAAACATTTTTAAGTGTTCCTTCATCTTCATTACTGTCTGGTCATGGCTGCCACCTGCTGACACAACTGGTGCATTACATATTTTTGAAATAGCATTTTTCCTAGTCTTGTGGATTCTGTAAGTAATGCGCTAACCGACACGTACTGTACAATTTAGCGTTGAATGAGGCTCAGTGGTAGGTAGCAGAAAGACTGAAATGAGTCAGCAACTGATACTTTGTGTTGCAAAGCTAGAATATACTGGAAGTCCCACTAAACTTCAAAGGGGGAAATTTGGATCCAACCACAGCTGTAGAAACAACACACAAAGTTTAACAGTTTTATTGAGACTTGAGGCCCTAAAGTTGTTTCACTAGAGTGTGATTTAGTCAGAAGTAACTTTACTTAACTCCTGCAATGAAAATGAAAAAGATGGAGCTGACATTTAAAAATGAAAAAAAAAAAATAATACAAAATTGTGCCTCCAACAAATAAACAAATACACAGAAAAAAATCAGGTCAGCTATTCTAAAAAGTGTGCCAGCTCTGACTTTACTCTTCAGTTGAACAATGACTCCCCATGGTCATTTCAGTTGTTATAAGACAATGGATTAGAACTTTGTAAATATTCTGATTAATGTTTGGAGTGTAGGTCCCATACATACTATTTTCTATTCTACTACAATTTAAATATATATTAACTTCGCAAACAACAGACAAGTCAGTGACGGGCCCTAGAACTCCTTTGACATAATCTAAAAATCTGACTGCAAGAGAACTACCAGTCTACTATAAAACATGTTTTAATCTAAGCAGATACAAAATGTTAAACTCCTGTTTTACTTTACAAATGAGCTAATGTCCTCAGTCCAGTGTTTACAGACTGATTGAATCCTCCAGATGCCTGAACAGAGAGTAATATTATGTAGGTTATTATTATACAAAACACCACCTTATATTGTCCTGTCCCCAAAGTACAGTTAGTCACCTTCACTGAAGATGCTTAAGAGTTCAACTGGAAATGAAATAACATGGCGCTGTGTTTACTTCACATTCAGTCAGGTCAAGACAGAGGTCAACTCCCTAAATCTGTGGATGACCCAAATTATACTTTAAACAGTTTGAACTGATCTGGGTCAGTTTTATGAGCACTGAATTAAACTAGAAGGCATCAAGAAAAATTTCCCAGTACTTCCAGTGGAAATAATTTCAGGCCCAGGACTAGTTTTATTGCAGTTGTATGAAAAGAGCTGTATAAGCATCAGTTCTGACAAAATTCTAAATCTAATGTACTCTAAGGAACTAAATGTCAGGATTTCAAGTAACATGTTGACTTACCAAAATATATGAAAGGACAGGTCTTTTAAAGCCAGAATAATCTACACTGCCTGGAAGAAAATAAAACCAACAGTGATTTGTAGGAAGAGACAGTACACACAATGAATTTATAGTGAGAGGGTTATTACAGAAGTACTGTAGGAAAACACCTCATCTTGCAATGAACAGGGAGTTTCTACATTCAGTTAAGATTATGAAAAAAACTCACATACTTTGTTCAAGAGCATCAAAAATCTAGGCTCTTGCTACAAGACCTGTCACCCTTCTACTGTATTACAACAGTGTAACCTATTACCAGTCAGCAGACAAAACTCCTTTAAAACAAGGTAGAACAGTGAACATGTGCCAACAGTCGCTACACAACTTAACTAATGAAAATTTGTTGACAGTATAACATGTCAGGAGCCTCTAGTTATCAAACCACCAACATGTTAGTTTTACAGCTGAATGAATCATTTCATTTAAGATCACATCAAGATCTTTTTTTTTTAGGATCATTTAAGACTGAGTTGTAAAAATTGTACGTCCATAAAATGGACAATTTCAGGCATGTTATGCAAACAACACTTGCAGTATTATGTAATGGTGGATAAGTACTTCCTCAAAGGCAGCATGGACCACAAGTTTGCTGTGACCTTTCACTTACTAACAGTAACTGGTACACATAATGAGAAGGATTTGAGTGCTAAAAAGTGACATGGCTCTGTCCATTTGTAGTAGCAGGCAGTGCTGGGATTGATTCCAGGTCAGCAGGATATCTGAGAGATCACAATGCACTTCATGCAGTAAGTACTTGCAATCCCTTGGTAGGGATACCAAAAAAAAAAAAGTCAAAACCTGCCTTTACCTTTCAGACAAAGAGATGTGTGTTTTTCATTCAGTTATTGGCATAATACCATGACCTCCTATCAATTATCATGAATTTGTCCTTTTGCCTGTATCACGAATGTAATTTCAGATTTTAAAAAAGTATAAAAATCTTATATCAAGCTCTAGGAATGAGCTAAAGTTTGGTTGTGTTTAAGCTAGACTGTTTTCAAGTTACAGCACTGTTAAGCTCATGTGTTCAGTGCTACTGAGCCTCAGAATGTTGTCGTCTATAGGGTGTCAGTGGGAAGCTGAGGGTCATACAGTCAGACGGTTGTTGGAAGGCTGAAGGGGGCTCCAGGAAGCTGGATGGGCAGATGCATCCTGTGAATACTGATTTTCTTCTTTGCTTATCCCAACGGTGCACAGCCGGCGGTGTCTCAGCAGCCGGTCTGTCCGGGAGAAGTTCTGAAGCCAGGCAAAGAAAGATGTGTGTTTCAGTCAAAGTAGAACAATGCTGACACTGCTAAGACAGCTGGATTTATTTAATCTTGTAAGATCCCGACTAAGCATCAGAAACCCAAAAGAACAATGGCAAATTTATTTCAAGCTGGCTCAGCTGGTCTGGCTTTCAGATATCTGAATAGATTACTGGCATGTCAGAAATTCTCTTCAGCTGTCTTGTAGTTTGAGTAGCTGCCCAGTCCAAGTCCCCTCGTGATTGCTGTCAAAAGATCAGTTACAAACAAGAATCAACTTCTTTTAATATCACAGTAGTATTTTACTTTGTGGTTAACTCAGACTGCTGTGATATGAAACTCAACATGAGCCGAAAACTGCAGAACAGTTCAGAACAGACATAAAAATTGCACCTTCTGTTTATGCAGAAAGGCAATTGTGCCGTGTGAGTGAACACAAAATACAAGAAATAATAATAATAATAATAATAATGATTATTACTATTATTATCAATATTATTATAGCCTTTGTTGCAATGGGTTACCAATAGGAGCCTACTGCAGCTATTGGTGAACATCAAGCTCCTCAGAAAACAACACATTTCTCAGCTGTGGAAAACAAACGCGCTGAAATGGCTTTTCACCTGTCATCAACAGCAGGTGAACCATTTATGAGTATTTATCAAGACTTGCAGCATACAGCATAAATGAGCATACCCTTACTCATTTTTGAACACTGGCTTTTTATCATTTTGATAAGAAAAACATATTTTCTTGTTAAATAAATGATGGTAAATGATACATACAGCATTGCTGAAACATCACATCATTAAGAACCCAATATGTTTTATTGGTAAGGAGAGATTTGTTAGGTTTTAGTAAGGGTGCACTCATTTATGCTGTATACTGTATGTAAGACATTAAAACAAATGAAAACTATGCCATTCCTCAACAAAAACAAAACATTATACATTAAAATAGATGCATGTGCCACAATTTAGTACTTCAAATCAATTAAAGGTCTCCTTTTTCCTGTATTTTTGTCCAAGCAAATGAAGTGGTTCAGTCAACCTGTTTCCCACATCTAACTACTAAATACAAAAGAGAGAGAAAGGCCACAGCGAAGTGAAGAAGTCAGCTGGGAGTTCTCACCTGTATGTGTAAGTATATGCCGTTTGAGGTGGTAGCTACTACGGAAAGCTCCATAGCAGTGATCACAGATGAAGTTCTTCTGGACTTTCAAGGAACTGTCATCATCCATATCAATTTGTGGAATTAAAGGCTAATAACAAAAATAACATTAGTGGAAACTCATCTGAATATCAAGAAAAGTTGCACTGTTGCACTGTAAAGCTACAGCTTTAACACAACCCTTACCTCCACTTTAACTTTGTTGGATGACACCGATTTTTTGTGTTTCTTCTTGGGTTGCATATTCTGGTTTGTCTGCATGTCCTTTCCATCCATCATTCTTGTTGAGTGATAGTCACCGTCTTTTCGGATCAGCTTTTCAAGTAAGGACAACAGGTCATTAGTGGGGAAGCTGCACTGCAAAGAGTTTGCCACTGTGACAGCTGTTCTGCTGTACATGCTAAAATACATTAGCTTGCAAACAAGCACATACAAACACATATCCACATATAAGGTGTAATGTTTTAACCCCCACCTCCCAAATTTTGTATTTATCAGTAATATATTGTGGTTTAAATGGGTAGTAAATGGTTTGTAACACAGTGGATTTATATGTAACAATCATTTATTCATGTATTTGTGAATAACTGTAACCCCTCCTGTGACACCCATATGTGGACACTGCTGTAAAAACAGATAAATAACAATTTGGTAAAACACAGGTGCAAAGATATAAAATATCTTTATAGGAGAAGTATAGTTGGTGACAAATACTGTGCCTATGTAAACACTTAAAATTTTCTTATGTTTGTTTACAGCTACAGCTATAGTGTGTCATAAACCACAGATTTATAGTAGTATTTAAAAGTTTATGTAGTGCTTATAAATGCTAGCTAAATCAGTTTTAAGTTTTGTTAAAGGATGTTATGGCAAAACAATACAGATTCAGTGTAAAACCTGTGCCAAGTTACATATGCAGAGCTCAGTAATCTGCTGTGGTGACCCCCAAATGATGGGGAGCAGTCAAAAGAGGAGCAACAGCAGCAGAAACTGGAGCCTTTGTAAACTTTGTGAGTGGCTGTGTCCATTTTTGTTTCCCTGTAAAGTAACCAAAGCAGCTCTTGTGGTGAGCATTGGAGCTGTAGCTGGCATCTGTCTCACCAGGGATTGGCAGCTCCCAGCTGAAGGATGGCCCATGTGGCTGTGGTGGGGTTGTCCATGGTGAACCTGGTGTCCATGATGGTTGTGGCTGTGCTGCGAGTGGCTTTGGTGGCTCTCGGGGCTGGTCCTGTGCCCCTGACCCAAGGATGACATCATCTTCTTTTGGCCTGGGATACTGTTGGCTTGCATCAGTGCCATACTGGACAGCACTGCCTCACAGCCCAGCAACCCAGCCTGGCAACACAAAAAACACATCAGCGCAGAAAGAGGGGGCCATGGGACCTGTTACAGAGGTGAGTCAGGGAGAAGGCAGGGGACTAACAGTGAAATGAACTGGCATCAAGACACACTATAACCATGATGTGATTCTGGAGATGAAGTTCCACTGACCCATTTCATATGGTCTCGAACAGAGTTGTTGGAATGGTGTGTCATCGCCGTGGTTTGAATGCGTGTGTGTTTGAGGGAAGAGAGGGAGCTTCACTCAGAATGAAGGGTAACAGAAGAGACCACACCCACCCAAATCATCAGGGGCCAAAGCCTGAAAGTAGAGGCATGACAGCATAAAGCTAACATTTTTACACATCAGGAGCTGGAAAACCAGACCAATCTATTCTGATTTCACAAATTGCCTAGTCTATCTCTATGACCAGAAATGTTGGTCCAGCATTAATATGTGTAGTTTATCAGGCAAGTAAGCCCCAATGGTTTGGTGCATGCCAAGTTTCCAGGGCTGACATAAAACATAGGTAGGAGAAAAGAAGGAAAGCTGATGAAAAATGAAAATGCATTAATCCAACAAATGCTTCATACACAAGGTAATGCTGAAATGCAGCGGCAAGTATGTGAACCTATTGGACCCGGTTTTCAGCATTAAATTGTTCTAAAATGTGATCTGATCTTCATCTAAGTCACAAGTATAGACAAGCTCAATGCCCTTATGTTAATTAATGTTTTATATGTTACTGAACACTCACTGCACATTCACAGTACTGGTGGATAAGTAAATGAACCCCTAGATTTATTAACTGGTCCAGCAGCTGTGGATCAGACCTGAACAATGCTGAGAAGAAATGTTGGACCATTGTTGTTCTTCACAGAATTGCTTTGGCTCAGCCATATTTGTAGGTCTGGCGTTGAGCGGCTCCCTTGAGGTCATTCCACAGCATCTCTGTTAGGTTAGGTTCTGGGCTCTGACTGGGCCACTCCAAAAGGTGAATTTTCTTTGTTTTAAATTCTATAGTAGATTAACTTCAACGCTTAGGGTCATTATTCTGCAGCATCAACTAACTTCTGCTGTACTTCAGGGTGGCTGTCTACACAGTGCTGTGTTCTTGCCAAACACTTCATTCAGCCTTAGTTTCATCAGTCCACAAACATTTTCGCAGTGGTATTGTGGAATTTCAAAATACTTTTTGGAGTAGCAGCTTCCTCTGTGACGTCCTACTATGGACACCATGCTCCACACACCATCTGCCCTGTATGTTAGACTCATGTACAGAGATGTTAACCAGGTCCAATGATTCTTTCACACCTTTAGTTGTGACTCTGGACTTTTCTGTTTTTACCTCACGGAGCATTGTGTGTTGTGCAGTTTTAGCTAAACACAAACTTTTAAGGAGAAATTGTCTCCATGTATAGACAGCTTGTTTAATAACTGTGGAATGATAAATATTGACACTCTTTGAGATCACTTCATAACACTTTCCAGCTTCACGCAAATCCACAACTCATAACTCTTCTGAAATCTCTTTACTGTGAGGCATGATTAACATCAACAGATGCTTCTTGCCAATAACAAACTCAAAAAGTTTCTTTATTATAAGTCAAAGTAGCTAAAATCTTCTTTCACTGTCTGGTTACCAGGTCTGCTAATGCCTGACTCCAGCTTGACTTTGTTGATGTCCCTAATCCTCACATACATTTCACAACCTACACAGTGAATGTTTGAATGATGTCTTCATATTTTTTTGGACAAGAACAGTAGAATGATGTGTGGTGACTGCTGAAAATTATGTTTGTGCATTACTGCAACCCAAATGACTTAAAATAAAATACAGATAATGTGATTCTGATATACAAACTGAAATATATCTTGTCTTACTTAATAATACATAGGAAGAAAGCTGAATAAATGCCGAGGTTACTCGCACTCTCTTGTGATTGTTGTTTTTCCTTTGTCTTCTTGGTCTTGTTCCACTTATCCCGGATTACTTTTACCAGAGAAGAACTGTTATGTTTTATCCCTATTTATCTCATTTCAATGAACATTCCTTTGTTGTCTGCATTGTTTACTGTCTGTTTATACTGTTTATTCTGCATTGTTTGCACTGTTTGTTGATGTTAATACTGCTATTTTGTTATATTACACAGCCTTATGCTGGTTTACTGTTTGCACATTGAGAGCTGATGTACCTGAGTCAAATTCCTCGTGTGTCCGTCACACTTGGCGAAAAAGCCGATTCTGATTCTAAACGTAAGTTTTAAAGCATATTCCTGCAGATATGAGTTTACAGTCAAGGGAGTCATACTGGTTTTTATTCAAGTCATGTTTTAGAGCACACATTTAACTATTAGGTTTTAATTTCACAATTTAAGTTCATGAAATAAAATTAAACAGTGAATTAATCTTGTAAGAAAGGCTATTTTTAATGTTTGCTGCAGGGGTTCTATTTACTTTTCACTTCAAATATTAACGAGATATTGAATTTGCTCATGAGTGCCCACATTTTTGGACACAACTGTAAAACAATCACTTCTAGCTAACACACGATGCTGCTGTGATTCCTGCAATGTTATGACTATATAGTGACACACATAAAACACCAGTTCAATATATTAGTGGGACATACCCCATTATTTCATTCATTCTAAAGGTGTATTTTAAATTAATAATGTGGGTTGGAGGGATTCTTGTTTATATGTGTTGTGTTCGTGCAAGGACAAACAGGTTTATAAAATGATGCATGCATTCAGCCACAGTGAAGCCGCTAGCGGCTCGTCCTGAAAGCATTTGATACCTTGTTAGAAAACTGTCCATCCCTGAACAAGTGAGCTTTAATAGTAAAAGGGGACTATAAATACAGCGCAATGGAAAAGCAGTTTGGTGTATAAATAAGAGCTGTTGATAGTGTGGAATTCAAAGTGCGAAGCATCAATCTCTGCTGAACGAGCAAAGGGCTAACTAGCTAGCTAGCCAGCCAATAGTTGGGTTCTGGGACAACTCTTGTATGACTGAACCCCCACCCCCCGACCCAGACAACACAACAGCAGCCAGGCAGGCAGGGCTCAGCTCCGACAACAAAATAACACCTCCGTCACCGGCTACAGCAGTTAGAAACGAGCAGGTAGCAGATTATAAAACGTCTAAACAGACACGAGTGAGATGTGTCGGAAAACTGACTGCTTACCTTCCGGTTCTTAGAGTTTTGTAGATTATTATTTCTTGTCGCACTTCCAATTTTTTCTCAGTTTACAAACACTGACAGGAAACGCCACCGGAAGTGCTCCCTGGGGAAAGCAGTCATTGGTCAGACGCGCCGTCACATGATTGACGCGCCATGGCCAGCATTTGCTCCCATGATTGTGAGGGATTGAAGGAGATGGCGTGGATGTGTGAGTTGTGTGTGTGGATGGGTGTGAGGCACTGCTGAGCCTCGAGCATATGCAGACTAAGTGGGCTCCCTTCTTCTTTTTAAAGAAAAAATACACACGTTTTTGCTGTGCACAGAATCACATGGATTCTTTTATTCATCACCATCATCATCAACTTTATTTGTATAGCACATTCATCCCAGCCCATAGCTGCCCAAAGTGCTTAACACAGTGACACATCACAACCGTATTAAAATCAAAACACATAGAAACAACACAATAAAATACACCGGCAATAACATAATAACAATAAACAATTACCAACATCCCCTTACAATAACCCCCACATACAGTATTAAAACAAGGTACCCAAACATGACACCGCCTCATACCAGCTCAAACTCCCAAGGATAAAAGTGGATTTCCAAATGCCTGACGATAAAAATAAGTTTTTAAATAGACTTTAAGTGTCCAGTGACGAGGCCTGCCTAAAGTGGAGAGGCAATGCATTCCACAGTTTAGGGGCCCCCGCCGCAAACGCTCTGTCCCCCCCTAAGTCTTCGCCTCGTTTGCGGAACCTCCAAGAGCAGCTGATCAGCTGATCTGAGGTGCCGCAAAGGACAATAGGGGTGCAGTAGCTCTGACACATAAGGTGGTGCCAGTCCATTCACAGCCTTATATGCAAATAAAAGAATCTTAAAATGAATTCTAAGATGCACTGGTAACCAGTGTAGAGAAGCCAAAATGGGCGTTATATGCTCTCTTTTTCTCCTACCAACCAGCAGTCGAGCAGCCGCATTCTGAATCTTCTGTAGGCGAT